TATATATATATAAGATAATATATATATGTATAATTTCTAGGCCCCAAGTCAGCAGAATATTTAAGATATACTGCCCATCAAGGGTCCTTAGATTAAATTTTTGTCGAGTAGTCAGTACTAACTGTCAGTGGATGAAGTCATCTCTATCTAGGCCATGTAACAACTGTAAGTGTAAAAAACAATATAGTGAAGTGATAACCTCTTCATTTCCCTTCACTGTGACTTCTCTTCATCTAAGATACCAGATCAGATGCTTATAATATGGTAAAAGGCAGAACTGATTAAAATGTGGAAATACATTTTTTATCTATAGGGCTAGGGGTAGAGAGAACAGCAGCACCATCAGCAGCATCGTAGAGTTCAGTGCTGCTGCCCTTAAATAATGTCAGCTGAAATTAAAGAAGAAATGAACAGGTTAAAAATAGAGAGCTGCTTCATGTGTGAGTATTTTGGATCACTCTGGATATCCGCTGTGAAATCCTGCTGAGAAACACCAAAAGCTACTTTATTCTGACAACTGGCTTACTATAAAAAATGTTGAAAATTTCCCCAAACTCTGTACATATGCTGTGTACGTTTGGGAGAGGGGAATTTGGGTGACGGTGACAGAAGGTTTCTTCTGAAAGCCCTTAGCATTATAAAACTGGTGCCAGCTAAACTCAGATCTCAGGACAATTTATTTACCTTCTCCACCTGAAATTCAGCATCACAATCTTGAAATTTCAGACCCCAGTGAAAGCTGAAAATAGCTTGTTACCATCTTCACTTCTATTAGCTAGGCTGTTGTTGATGGTTAATGGAGAATGAAAGCCTTTTCCAGCAGCTGGCTGCAAGCACTGTACCAGGGGCATCACGTTAGTGCAGGCAGAGGCTAGTGGTCAGGAAGGGCGAATTTTACCCCTTTTGCTAGACGCAGACCTGAGGTGTTTGGGAAGCCCTCTGCCTGGCATAGTACCAGAGTTTACTTACACAATATGTTACTGCAGTGCAGGAATCATTGTACTTCTCGAAATGATAAGAAACCAAACCCATGATAATCGCTCCATCACCACAGCTCTCTTTGTACTTATTGATGTGGTTTTCCTCCATTAAAGTTCCCTCTTCTCTGCTGGGCTTCCCGTCAGTATTTGAAAGGCTGACGTTTACAGTGTTGGAGGATGCAGAATGACCACAAAATAAGTGTGATGAATCCCTAACGAAGTTCAGCACTGCAGGAGGCCCAGGCAGAAGCATCTGGCAGAGAGAGACATGCCTGGCAGCCTTCTTTCCCCAGACTGTGGGTTGCTCCAAAACAAGGGAAGGCAGGTGCTCTGTGGCCAGCGCCCCGCAGTTCCCCCACATCCCTCGAGCAGTGAAAGCCTCTTCAGACCCTGAGCTGGGGCATGTCCCTGACCTCATGGTCCTTACCTGACCAATAGTTTGCGTTAAGGAATGGCATACGCTTGTGAATTTGTGTGTGTGAGAGACACAAACTATGGGCTGGGCTATGCCAGCAGGTCCAGTCCCTGTGTGGCTGTCGTGGTTTAAACCTTACCATCCTCAGGTACAGTATAATGCGCGTATTCAGGAAAGTAATCTTCGATTTTTGATTTCCCTGCCAAGACTTTTTCAGCCAGCATGTCCTGTTTATTCAAGAACAAAATGATAGAAATGGTCCGTAACCACCTGTCAAAACCAAACCAAATGTTTGTGTTAGCTCTGACACAAGGAAAACATATCACTTCAACAGAAAATTTACTGGCTATTCATGCATGGATAGAGAGTGAAGTAGTGATAGAGAGTGGAGCCTCTATCAACAGAAAAAAAAAAGATGACCTAAATTCTCATTTTAATTAGGTTGCACCTGTGCTAGTGGGTATATTTATAGGGCTTGTAAATACATTTATAAAAGCTGCAGTAGACATTGCTGAAGGGAACAGTCTTCAAAATTGTTTTCTAAATTATCCTTTTGATATTGAATTGGGAAAAGGATGACATTTCCTAAAAGCACTGCAGTCCAAAACCAGACATTACTTTCTACTTTGTTTGGCTTTGCTGAAGCAAAAGCAAAAGGTTGGAAAGCTGCCTCCCCCCAGACTGCCCTGTCTTAACTACTGTTTATCCACAGAGATATCCTGCCTTTTAGGGTAGACTGTATGACACCCGTTGGATCAAAAGAAAACAATCTCTTTTGTCTCCCAGTTAATACCTTGCCATCACTGTGACTTGTGCTTAACATCTTTCTTCTCTCTACCTTCAATCCCTTCCCCGTGCAGAGCATCCTCATAGGTATGTGCTGAAAACTTCATTACCTTATTTTGTATATTGTTTTTTCCTTCTATCAGGAACCTGTTCAGATTGCTGTTTGCTCACATGTCTATAATTTACATGCACTGTGGCAGAATGGCAATTTAATGGCAGTTACAATTAGATTAGATCTGAAATATCATCCCACAAGGCAGAGAAGCCGTGCGCTCCCAGAGACGAGCCTTATGAGAGCGGCTGCCCACGCCGGTATCGAGTGAATCGAGCTCAACGCCAACAGCAAACTGCTCCTGCTGCTGCACTTGAGGAGGAGACGAAATGTGATTTGGAGGATGCTCTCAGTCTCGGTCAAGCGGCACAGTGACGCCAGAAAGGGGTCTCCCCTGCTTCCCTTGTGGCAGCTGGCATGGGGAGCTCGCCCTTCCCAAGTTGTCCCCATGCTCTGCATCATTTTGGTGGCGGCAGCAAAACACTGTGCACCATCCCTGTGCCATGGCTCCCACTGGAGAGGGGTAGGCACCATGGGGACACCCTGCTACCTTGCCCTACCTGGGCATTTTGTGAATAAACAATCTGATCATATAATAAGGAGAACCCTATTTTGTATGGAGTTGAACTGTAGCTAAATTGGGGAAAGTGACTGGGAAGTGAGGTGTGTTTTACCTATTATTCCAGATACTTTTGAAAAGGTCCAGGGATTCTCGTAGTCTGTTTGTGTTATTGTCTTCCCTTATTACCATGTTGTAGCTGCTGCAAGCCACAACGAAGATGATAGCCGTGACATCTGGGCAGAGCATACAGAAGAAAGAAAGAAAGAAAGGAGAGAGAAAAGAACATCTCTGTTACCCCAGCATATACTCCTCGGGGTAACACTGCCATTACACCCCAAAGTGCCAAAAATACCTGAAGAAAGTATCTATAACATTGGACTCCTGTATTAGTGACACACTATGTGTGAATATGAATACTAAGCTGCTCACACCTCAGAGAGTAAGGTCAAAATAAAACATGTGGAACATTTTTACTTACCATTAAAGCACTGGATCCATTTTCTTCTCTCATCTCTCTGGCCACCTACATCAAACATGCTGTTAAAAAGCCATAGGATGTTATATCACTTATGTGCACTAGGAAAGTCACACAAAGCACGCAGCACGAGGGTTCGGTTTAAAAATCTGACAGCCCCAAGGACAGCGGCAGTAAAACACCACCTGAAGGTGAGAGATGATATCTGCTGATGCTGTGCTGCATGTCAAGAGCTCTGCTGATGCCGCGCTGCATGTCACAGAGCTGCACGGCTCCACCTGCTCTGCTCTGCCAGGAGAAGGCTACTGAACCCATAAAGTGAGAAATACGCTCTTTTCCAGGGCCAGTGTTGGCCTTTCCAGCCCACAGAAGTGCTGCAATGTAAGGTTGGAACTACTGTACTACAAATAAGGACAGGTTTTGGCATATTCTGAAAGGTGGTGGTGAGAGAGTATCTCTGTAAGGAGGAGGATGTGGGGCAGTCCCATCAATACTGCCACCTTTCTGGGCAAGAAAGTGGAAGCAGCCTGATAGTGGGTGTTTACAGAGACACAGCATAAAACTGACAAACACAGAGCTTGCAGCCCTCTGGAAGAAGGGAGACATTTAACTCTCCTCATCCCACTGTACGAAGTCTGACTCATGGCAGCATTTCCACTGACTTCTACAGGATCTTATCCCCAAAAGTATTTTATGAATTTCAAGTGCTATACCAATGATCCAGCTAGTAAAAACAGCCACAGATAACCCCACAACAGAGCATCGCTAACAAACATAACCAAGCTCTTTTTGCAAAGCATGAGGCAACTTTACTAGGACCTTTGGGAAGAGAGTTACAAAACCAAACCAAAACCCGAACAAGCCAACTCCAACCCTAAAGCTACTATACCAAGCATACATGTGCACAGATATTTAAAGTAAGTTGTTAAAAATTAGTACAGTATTCATAAATGATTACTAATAGACTTACTGGAAATTTACTTTATCTACTTGAAATCTTGTTTCAAAAATCCCTGATGTCAACACTCTGCATCTTAACAGGTCCTGGAAATGAGAACACAGAAGCTGATTAGCAAGGATTTTTTGTAACCTCATTTTGTTTTTAAAAGCATGGTATATTATTTTCCATTAGAAGTCTCAAATGTTCCATTATATTAAAGTTCAGACTTGTTGGTAAACCTGCATTTGTCCATACCGACACAGTGGATAGACACAAACATCATCTCTGCATTTGGTTTGTGCACTCTCAGAAAGCACATACATTCTCCTTACTGCCCACTGAAACCTGGTATTGATGGTCAGTCGATTATGTATGTGACGGGGATAATGAATTCTGAAGTTACATAAAACTAAGAAAAATGTTATTCGTGTTGTAAAGTCAAGTATTCACATGTTAGAAAACTCCAGATTTACAGTTGCCCAGGCAACCTTAATTCTGCCCTCTTTTGTATTGAATGAGACAGGAATCCTATCGAAATAATAGCTTGTGACTGAGTAATTAAAGCTCTATTACAGAGCACAGGGGAACAGAATTTAAGTTGTACATAAATTTGGCATTTCTCTCTTATTTTTCAAACCAGCAATACTTTCTAACTTAAATATCATTCTTTTAATAACTAAAAAATAACAATTTCCCTGATTCTCAAAGGAAGTAGGCAGAAGCCATTTATGATGCATACCTCAGGCAACCATGTGCCATCACCATTGCCAGTAGCATTTTTAACCTTGACTATCCAGCACTGCTGTTTGGGCAGTGGGTGCAGAACTGTATCAGAGGCCGGAGAAAGCTGCTGGCTGCTTGGTGGGGATGAACCCCCCTCAGCAGCCACCTCTTGGCAGGGCTGCTTGCCTGGAAAGCATTCCCTTCCTGGGTCAAGGGAAGGGCTGCTTGGCCTAGCTTAGCTTTCCTTGCCATGCAGCAGCTGCAAAAGCAGGGAGGGAAGGAGGCAGTTAGCGGTGGAGTCCAAGCACAGCTTGCCTTTTTCCCTTTACCCTAACATTCACCGCTTCAAGTACCATGGTAGCTGGCAAACCTTGGCTGCTTTGGGAGCCACATGAACTCAGCTGAAGGCCACTTGTTTAATTATTTTAGTTATCGTATACATTACGGTCATTTTCTCTCACTTGCTGACATTTATTTGTTATCGGATTCAGTCATTATTTTGGGATGGTGGGAAAGAATTAAAGAAAGCAAAGGAAAAAAGGAAAGTAGTGATTTTTCCCAGTTAATTTAGCAGGACAACTGATACAGTGTAACAGGATGAAAATCCAAAAGCAAAAGAGAGGTTTAGAGCTGAAGTTTTCTGCCTGCCAAATACCAAAGGCCTCTTCTGATCTTTGGAGACATAGGGCATTTCTTCCCAGAGGAAGTATCAGGAAAAATTTGCAGATGATGAATGACTGCTCCAGGTAGAGAAAGGCCTTCCAGGAACAAACAGGCCAACACTAACATAAATAATGAAAGCAAAAATGAAGCTTTGCTTCACTGACTTCTCTCTCCAGCTGAGTGGTATCAATGCTAAAATCAGACTATGACGTCTAGATGGTCTAAACCCCAGAGCTAGTGCTTTGGTCTGCAAATGTCTTGAGGGCTTTAATAATTCATCCTATATTGGGTCAACTATACAAATTTCACCTTATAATACAACACATACTACTTTTTACTGCCTTCTATTTCAGGATATGGCCAGAGTAACTGGACAGATTTGTGGTTACAGACCTGAACTAGGTCTGAAGGAACAGGCTCTGCTCCACGTACTTCCTTGTATGATCTCTGGCAAGTCGCTTAATTTTCTGAATTTCACTCCCTGATTGTACAATGAGATTTGGAAACTATTTTTTTAAGCGCATCCACCTGTTACATACACCTGGTATGGTTACACTGAATTATCCCGTGCAGGGATTCTCTTCTGACACCTGCAGTTGCAGTTTATGATACAATCTTGGCTGAGGTTACTAGATGATGGTGGGATACCAGCACTGAAAAGTAACAACCTCAGAGTCAGTTTGCTGAAGGAAAACTGCGTAAGGAAACAACACAGCCTGAGCACAGGGAAGGCAGCCAAAGCTGTGCACCATGGTGAAGCCCTTTACTACTTTAAGGCTGCACCACTTCAGCATTAACTCTCCTGAATATCTTTGTCACTAGAGCACTCTATCAAGTTGTATCACGACATTTGGGGAAAAAGTATACTGTGCTGCAAATAAGGCTTAAATAGAAACTATCCTGCCCATAGGAGATGGGCACAGGCTGGAAAGGTGTCTGCACACCCGCAGAGAAGTCCATGAGGTCTGCAGTTGCCGCTGGTGCTCTTCTGGGATTTGGATCTACTGCAGGCTTCTGCCTCTGAAGGACCATCTGATGGTCAGGGGAAGCCTCCATCTGCGTTACATCACCTCCACCATTGAAATAAAACACTGCTTCTGTGTAGTGAAGGCTGGTGAAGGAAACCATAGGTTTTTACATTTATGTTTTCTGTTCCCATCACTTTGTTTGCGGGACACAGAATGGAAAACAAGAAGAAATATTACAGGAATCACTGACCTATATATAGCAACAGTAAAAGACAAGCTTGTACCATTAAAAAGCCTCTTCTTCTTTAATATCCATTACTTAAACTGCTAGACTGTATTTTTTATATTGTACATTATGCCCTGTTTCAGCTGCTGTTGGGACTAAAATCAATTACATAAAGAATTCATCTGAATGGGAGGCTTGGTTCAGATCCTACCCCATCAAGGTATACTAACCTGATCTGTAGGTGTGTAGTCATCCATGCTGACGCTGTCAATTCTTTCTAAAAAGCTGAAAGAAAAATAAACGTGCACTTAGAGATGGAAAATACTGTCTAGTGTAACACTTTTCACTAGTTTTACTTTGCTGCAAAGTAAAATGTAAATCCAACGGTAAAGGTATGAGCCTCATGATTTACTTACACTAAGTGAGCTTACATTTTCTGGGCCAAATGGCTTTTTACCCAGACTTTGTTTCAATACAGCACTTCTAAACTTACTGTTATGCAGTAGCCACAAGTTGTCCAAATACAATTAACTGTTACAATGTCAAAGGTCTATTAAAAAATACCAAGACTAACCTGTGTCATAACATCATATGATTGTTTAGACATAAGAAAGATTTTGGAGTTCCAAAAAGAAAACGGGGTGAAGGATGGCCTTTATTTAGCATAATGTTACGTTAATTATGGTCTCAGTAATGTGAGCAGAAATGCTTGTTAATACATACAAATAGCTTTGGACCTACATTCTGCCCTTGAACATGGCAACCAAAGCATAAGAAGTGGAAACCAAAACGGACATGAACTGGGGGTTAACTAGTCTAACTCTATGTCGCTGAAACTCAGTGAGATACATAGTGAAGCAAAACCTTACAGTTGCAGAGAAGAACAAAAGAAAAGGGAACCAGAAAAAAAGGGAGCAAACCACATTCCTGAAGTATTTAAAAAGATGTCCAAGCTTTAATTCTTTCTCAGAGTATGTTAGAATGGCAGTATTAAGGACATAAAATCTGATATTTTAGCTAAAATAGGCAGGATCTCTGCTCTGACTTCCACTTATTTCTTACATTTTGTGTGAACCTGGCAGACTCATTTTACCCAGACTGCCCGTATGACAGAAGCTTTCTTGAATTTCTGCACTGTTATTTCCTATTTGGCAGTGAATATCCCACCAGCTGACTCATCCTGCTACAGTATTATCAAGATTTCTTTATCAACTGGCAAGTTTTTTCCCAATTTTACTTGGGTGTGTATGTGGAATTTACTTAATTGAAGTGGGAAAACCAAAAAAACCCATGAACTCTTGACTTACAATGTGACTCACTGTTAACACGGGCGTCACACACACTGACCAGTTGAAAAAACACCCCTCTAAAAGCCTGTTTGCAAATATTACAGCACTTTCCCACGGATATGAACTGAAAGGAAAAGAATATACACTGCATATATATTTACTTATACTATTTTTCCTTTTTGAACCTCCATTGTTATAACAGGGAAACAAAATGCACTATCTACAGCTAGAATATCCAGCTTTTCTTTCTGGATGAGCAAGGTATGATGGCTAAGTACATTGTTTAAAAACTCACTGTTTAGCACAACACGATGGCTGCCTGATAACAAAACTATACTGAACAAACTCTAAAGAAAAAGCACCTTTTTACAAAACCTTCTTCCCCACTGAAAGCCACCATAAACATGTAAAGATATAAAAGTACACCTTTATAGTCAGCTACAGTCACCATGAATATAGCTACAGCTATATTCAGACTGAACCCTTTGGTCAGGTGATTTCCATCACTGTGAGAATATTGATTAAGCAAAGCTTAACTGCAGTTACTCCCACAGGTAATGCAGACACTGGAGCAGAGCAATGTATTTTTAACTGGTGCACCTATCAGCAATACAACTCTCATCTTACGTTTGTAGCACACCAGGTGAAAAAAGAAGGCAAAAAAGCCCAAAGCAAAAATGCCTCTGAGCTGCATCTCTTCCTAAACATAGAGTCATTTTCCTTAACGCAGCTGTTCAGGCAGCACTCCTGTATTTCCAAGTCCACTTCCAAGTTGTCTTTCCAGTTTCTTAACAGTTTGATCAAGTGGGCCTGGAAGGAGGCACTTTTCAACAGGCTGAAAGGTCAGTAGAGGTCTCTGAATGCAGTAAAAAGTGGCAACACCAGCAGGTTGAACAAGCCTGAGGGAGAGCTAGCAAACTGCTGTGGGTAGCGTGAGCACTTGCACAGCTCAGGATCAATAAATGCACAGAAGTCAGGGGAAAAATGCTCCTCAACCACAGCTGACACAGAAAGGGCTCTGGTTAAGAGTGTGGGCAGAAGCGAGTCTTTTTGCACAAATATGAGCCCATCACAAACCTCACAAGACAGCGTGAATCTGTTTTTCTTGCAGAACAATTCCTTCTGGAATTGATGTATAAATCAGAGATGATACATCTTGTTTCCCCAATACCAAGGTCATGTTGGCAGAATTTATCTAAAATGATTAAACATGGTATTTAGTACCAATTCACATCTCGCACACCTACAAAACAAGCACTTCAGGAAGGTTATTGGTTGTTAGTGTTTGCATGTTCCAAACAGGCAAACGATGGTAAGGAACAGAGGAGTGAGTAACACAGAGTTACACTGCAAATAATCCATGGAAATTAGGTAAGTGTCCTAATTAGATGTCCTGTGTATCAGACCAAGTTGTCTTTCATTTAGAAATTGTCAGCCTCCTCCTGGTAAAAGGATACATTCAAAATACCCCGAACTGCAACACTGCAGTTCAGAGAGTGAGCTCTGAGAAATATCATGCACTTAAAAAAACATCACTTGACATAGCAGCCATAATGTTTTATGTTTGTAAGATTGCTGCTACATGTGATCTGTATTAAATAAATGCAATGGTTTACAAGGTTTTACCTGCCACCCCACTGTGTCGAGCAGCAATGATATCACTAACATCCAATAAATCAAAATGCAACCACTACTAAGATTTGGCTAAATTTCATAGCTTTACAGAAAATTAACCTTTTCAGTGTGTGAAGGACAAGGCTTCCTAGTATTTCTTTTGCAACTACATTAAAAGTGCACTGAGATTTCTAGACTCTGAGACACAGAAAGCTATACTCTTACCTTTTGGAAAGAAAATCAGTTCTTGAATATTCTTCATACAAGCTCCTTACTTGGCTAATTAGCACAGTACAAAAAAATAGCTCTGACAGGCAAATGTATATAGTAGGTACAATTAATGGATTCCAGATGAGATAAGGAGTCAGTACTGCCTCATTACTAAATACATTCACTTCATTCCCGTTACTGTATTAAAATGGGAAAACTAGAATCACTTTTCTAAATTGCTTTCTAAAGAACATTAATTTCTACTAGTCCTAAATGCCTCTAATAATTATGTTATGGCATAATATACATTCTTTTATACATATACAGATATATACATGCCAGCCAATTTTAAACTTACATGACTAAAATTTCAATGTAAAGTGCTTGAAGTGGGAAGATACCTCCCAACTGTGGCAATGCTCGTGTCTCCACTCAAAGAATCAGTGTGAGGAAAACACAACAGTAGAAAAATGAGTAAAAATGGACACTGGTATCACTTATTCTCTCTTTTTAGATCCTGTTTTTTTCAGTCCTGAGATAAAATTATTTTTCACAGAATTATGCCTTTTTACAATACTGACAGGTCTTCTACTTATGCTGCTTCTATAGAAACCCATACTCGGAATTTATGTTAATTCTGCAGTGACTCTGTGCATGTGCAATGAACTTTAAACTCATGCATTCAATTCAACTGTGAATAAAACTGTAATGTATGATAAAATATTTATATTTCTATTTCACAATTGTGCTTTTATTTATAAAGGATTCAGTCTGATAATTAGTACGACATTTAGGTTCTTCTTAATTTTACAGTAGGGTGTTTTACATTGCCTTACACGGAACAGCATTTTTTTTTCTTCTTAAACAAATGAAGCAAGTTACTGGAAGGAAGGTCTTCAGTGATCAGTTTGGAAATGCAGCGGTTTGGTTTGCCAACAAATTAAGGAAAAATGGACTGATAAAGTTAAAAAAAATTCATGAGCTACTGACATTATTATATCTATTATTAAGCTGATCTGTAGTTTTATAAATATCTTCAGTGAGTTTCCTAGGAAACTCAGCTGACACTTAGTTTGACAAGCAATCTCTAAATTCTATATTATGCAAGCTGTGAACACAAAAGTACAGGTTTTAGATGTGCCTGCCAGTGCATGTGGGAACTATCAATAAGCATTATTCTCTGTAAAAACCATGGCAATTTGAGCAGCAGTACCAGCTATATAAGAATTTCTGAAAAAAGGATTCATAAATGCACAAATAAAGGGGAGGTAATCGTACATGAAAATCCTTTTCTCCCTGGGTAAATCACTACACGGCTCTGTATAGCTATTCTGACCCCACAAACAAATCACAGTTGAAAGAAAAATCATGTCTTGAGAATAATACGATAGACACAAAAAACCCCATGCTATATTTTTAAGTGTATTTTGACATCCAAAGAATTGGAAAGATGAAGTGCTAAACTGCAGATCAATACAACGAACTACACATTTTAACAAATCTTCATCTACTTCAACCATTTTGCATGCTCTCACCCCAGCATTTCAATAGCTTTGTTGCTGTGGAAAACAAGAAATCAAACCCATTTCAAAATGCTTGTCTCCTTAAAAGAAAAAGGTAACGTGGCAAGTCTTTTAAGGCTGCAGCTATAAGTTGTCTGTAAGAGTGAAGAATCTCACATTTATCCCCATGTAAGTTGTCAGGGTCAGCAAATCTTCACATTTCTGATGGCCAATTAAGAGCTTTGAACTCCTCAGCCAGGCTCATTACCCAGCAGAAGCACCATTATCTACTATATGAAACTATCCAGGACCAGGACTTTTGAATTCCATCCTATTTGGATTGCAGTAAGTCATAGGCGAGGCAGACATTTCAGAATGAGAACACCTACCCCAGGTCTCTAGGGAGCTGAAACGGAAAAAATACCTTCCCCTCCTCCCCATTACAGTTATCAGGGACAACATCAGGATTTGGAATTCTTTTTTTCTTCTTTCGTTCTATATTTAAAATAAAGAAATAAACCCCCATATATTTTAAATCAACTATAGGATTACAATCCTGTAATAATAACTCTTTCTACGGTATTTGAAATAGGAAACTATGGATTTCTGGTTTTGCGAATACCTTAGGTTCTATGGTTGGGTTTCAAGCAACCTCACATTATTCTGATAT